GAAAGCATTACAAAACTATCGACATAATGTGACATTAAATAGCCATAGAAGTCTGAAATGCATCCAAAAGACCATTCACAAATACAATTGGGCAAGAGGTATTCACTTCCAATAAACTGAAAAAACCTGACAATGAAACAATGAAGTTCTGACCTGGGATTAAAATGAATGTATACAGCAATGTAACACATTTCTAGCCTGAGAAATAGTGCTAGTAATGGCTTCTTGACAACTATGGCAAAGTTAACTTTTGACATATGTCGGTGCAAAGCACCTTTTAATGCAATGTCAATTTTGTATCTTGGGTGTTGGCAAAAACAACTGTAAAAATCATGCAAAGTACAGGTTATTTTTATGATACTATGAACTACTACACACGTATGAACTGCAGTATGATAACACGAAGAAGACCAAAGAAAATGAGTTGTTTTCAATAGGAAAAAATGCCTTGTCTTATAATAAAGAAAGAAAAGCAGAAGATAAACACATTCTGCAACATTACAGTCATGTAAACAGTTGTCTTATTATTGCATTTTTCATGTGACATGTTCAGTCTAACGGAGTATAGATGGTTGCGAAACCAAGTTTTAATGTCTCTCAAAACATCTTGTGACCAAGTCATTTGGGTAAACAAAGAGTAAACAAATACTCATAGTGACAGATATGGTCTATAGTGCATACACTCACACAAAGACACAAAACCGCATTTAGATGGAGTGGCCAACAATTCCAGCCAGGGGTTTGCTGTGAGAATGGTCTGCAAAAGGGTGGTTGTTGCTGGTGTAATTTTATGGGGGAATGAGCCAAACAAAATCCAATTTACCCTGGTAAAATTCCACTGAGCAAAAGATAGGAGGAAAATACTGAAAAGGGGAAGGAGTTTTACCTCATTTGTCACTGTACTGTCCAATCACAACACTTCAGAAGATGGGCGAATAGCCACACTGTTCCAGTCCATGCCTCTGAAGAAATGCACAAACAAAACAGAACTACACTAAAGAGACCCTTTTGGCCTAAGGTTGATTTGAATAACATTTTTTGTTATCATTCAGTGGGGAGATAGTATGAAATGTTGCTGAGTAGATTCATGCCACAATACATTGTATATTCAAGGCAATATTTACCCTGTGTTGGCAGAAAGGAGAGCAGGATAAGCAAATATTTAGAGGTATAGAAGGAAAGAGTAAACAAACAAACAAAAAAAAAATAAATAAAAATAATTTAACCGAAATGAAGTGCTTACAATTCAGCTTCAAGCAACTTTTCAATGACTATAATAGAATATGTCTGTCTGTTAAAATATGGAAAACAGCTACACTGTGAAAAATAATTTCTTAATACATATATTTAAATTTTTTAAAAACAGGACACATTTACTTAAAAGAAAAATTATGCAAGATATTAAGAGTAGTTTTTCAGGAACTTTTTGATGTAAGTTTATTTTTCTTACTTCACTGGCAAAAATTTTTGTTCTTTTTAAGCACAAACCTAACCAGACCTCTGCTTCAAGCAAGAAAAACGTCTCGGGTTACGCATGTAACCATGGTTCCCCGAGAGGGAACGAGACGCTGCACATTGGGGAATGCAGCCTGCATTGTGTCTGAAGCACGTGTGAAACAACGCCAATCTATTGGCCCACCTGGCCCATGACGTCATAGGCGGGATGCCCGGAAGTATAAAAGGGCACCTGCTGAATACGTCATCCACTTTAGCTGTCTAAAGGAGACGTAGACAGGCAGGCCGAAGGCATGGCAAGGGGGCGCAGCGTCTCGTTCCCTCTCGGGGAACCATGGTTACATGCGTAATATCCTCAGATAGCTATGCACCTAGGAAGGGCTACCAGAAGGGGGACCAACTGAAACTTTCCAGACCACAAAGAGTGGGCTGTCTACTTGCAACCCTAGCAGGGGAGACAGCACTGTTTAGGTAAGGGCTCAAGAGACCACTACTTAAAACCCTAAGCAGGGGAGCGATCACTGAGCTAGCACATACCTATCCTCAGATAGCGAGGCTCTAGGAAAAAGGGGCCCACTCCATGAGAGGGCTCACCGCAATTGCAGTAGAACACAGCTAGCCACAGATAGCTGTATTCAAATAAGCCTGTCCTGCCAAAAACAATGGCTGGAATATAACCACCCTCAGAAACCTATATTAAGGAGGTCCCCAATCCGTGTCAGTCCCACAGTAGGCTAGCAAAGCACCGTGCTATTGACCAAGATCTCACAAGA